TAAGATCTTGAGTATAAGATGGAGCTAGGTTGTTGAGATCTTTGTAGGTTAGAAGAAAGATTTTGAATTCAATTCTGGATTTGACAGGAGCCAATGAAGAGAAGCTGAAACTGGAGAGATATGATCTCTCCCATTAACTCCAGTTAAGACTCTGGCAGCTGCATGACACACTGAATTTTATTTTATTTTTATTATTTGTAAGCCATAATCATCAAAATTACAAGAGATAAAGGCTTGAAATATTTCACTCTGTGTAATGGATCGATGTAATATATGAGTTTCACTTTCTGAAATAACTGACAAAAACAAATTGAACTTTTTAATGATGTTCTAATTTTTGAGATGCGCCTGTATGTCCATGTATCAACAAGCTTCTATTAACTTGAATTTGCACAACTCTGTTATATTTTCAGGGTCTAAAAATGAGGGTGAGCTTACAAGGTCAAGATAAAAAAATTGAGATGTTTACTCTAAAGGGCAGAAATTCATTTTCAAGTTTGTCCAAACATTAAATACAGGCTAAACTTCTACATGAACAAAATACAAAATGAAAATGAAATCTTAGTTAATCTTAACCTTGTGCAACATTGGTGCATTTCCTAAGGTCAGATAAGAGAATAAAAGACACTTCAAAGTTATTTTTCTTCCTGAAATCCACATCAGAGAGTCACATGGACTTTCATTCTGCTGGTTTGGGTCTGTACCAGTCATAATCCCATTGTACTTACAAAAATGGTAGGGCCCGGGTTCTGGAGGCACTTTGATGTGAACTTGAAGAGTCATTTCTAATTTTGCTGACTTTGCATTTCTAAAATGTTTGTACCCTAAATTACAACGCCCAGGCTTTGTTTGTGTGTTTCTTCACTGTGGGCTCATGGATGATATAAATGTGTGAGTGCTGCCTTTAATTTTGTATGGAAGTGGTTTAGAATTGTTGGTCTGGTGATACTGGGAATGTACGGACCACTGGTTAAAAATGCAGAATCACTAGACTGTCTGATTAATGCTGGAATCTCCCGATATCTTTCACTCAGTGGCTTCAGGAGTTTGTTTTTAATAGTTTAAACATTACAGGGCTAAGCATTTTATAGATACTGCAACTTGTGTGTTGACTGTCAAAGTGTTTTTCTGACTACATGTACATTTTGTTTTGCTGCCCTCTTGAGGGAGTCTTGTACATACAGTACTGTATTATTTATTTCATGTGATGTATGCATGGGCGTGTGCAAGTCCATATCCAAGAGTCTGCAAGCGTGGATACATCTGACATGAGGGATTATTTCAGCATACGTTCATGAAAAATGCAAACAAAACACAATTTTGCACCTTGCCCGGGCAGATGGCGTTTGGCGCCGCACTTTGTCAGCAAAGATCTGCACCTGAGTGAACTGCAAGATCACATCTAGCATTAGGCTTTGAGTCTGCACTCCTCAAGGTGTCAGTGTGTTTGTTCATGGATTAATCCCAGTTACATCCCCTCAGCTCGTACCTGCTTTGTGCTGCTGTTCTTCCTTTCTATGTTAAGAAACTGAAGCAGGTGGTGGGGGGTCGGGGGTCTTTCAGAGGAATGTTTCATAAAGAAATGCTGATAAAAATGTTTCTTGTTGTGAAATCATTCTGTGCAGTTGAGCTCATTGAATTGGAAAAGAGATAAAGTGAGTCATAAAGCCAACAGGGAGCCTCAGTCATTTAGAGCCCTTGAATCCTTGTGTTAGGCTGATCATTAATTCATGAGAAATCATACACAAGATTAAATATGGCAAAAAGCCTACATTTTGCAAGTGCTAAAGTTACTCAATACTGCTGATAGATTTGAGGGTAAAACAAAAATATTTTGTTCTACAATTCTTCATATTGGTCGAATATTTGTCTCTCGTCTTTGTCACATTAAGTTAGTGTTTCTCATAATAATTGAACACAGCATAACGTGCATGCCTGCACTGAATCTTTAGATACGTTTTAAATTTAAAACCCCAAACTACTTCAGTGAGTATTCGTTAGAAGTTTCCTGCATCAGTTACTGAGTTACATTTTACATTTTCATTAATGTTACAAAGTAAACTAAACTTTGTGAGGCAAGGATCACAAACATAGCGTTGCAGCCAAAGAGCACTAAGATTTCACTGAGTCACTGTTTGAATTCTTCAGATTATAATGAAACGACCCACACAAAGACATTTCATCATTTTATAACAATCTTCAGCATAAGTTGGTGGCAACACTGTCGAGAGTTTGAGCTGATTTGAGAGATTTCAGTAAGTAGGAAGGAAGGACAGATGGAAGAAAGGAAGGAAGGAAGGACAGATGGAAGGAAGGAAGAAAGGACAGATGGAAGGAAGGACAGACGGAAGGAAGGACGGACAGAAGAAAGGACGGATGTAAGGAAGGACAGATGGAAGGAAGGAATAAAGGACGGATGGAAGGAAGGACAGATGGAAGGAAGGAAGGACAGATGGAAGGAAGGACGGACAGAAGAAAGGACGGACGTAAGGAAGGAAGGATGGAAGAAAGGACAGATGGAAGGAAGGAAGGACAGATGGAAGGAAGTAAGAAAGGAAGGAAGAAAGGACAGACGGAAGGAAGGACGGACAGAAGAAAGGACGGATGGAAGGAAGGACAGATGGAAGGAAGGAAGAAAGGACGGATGGAAGGAAGGAAGGAAGGAAGGACAGATGGAAGGAAGGACGGACAGAAGAAAGGACGGACGTAAGGAAGGAAGGACAGATGGAAGGAAGGAAGGAAGGACAGATGGAAGGAAGGAAGGACAGATGGAAGGAAGGAAGGACGGCGGAAGGAAGGAAGGAAGGAAGGAAGGAAGGAAGGAAGGAAGGAAG